ATGTAAAAATTCATGTAAAACCTATTCTTCGCATCTAGTGAGACTTAAAATAATACAAAACAACTTGTCACCTCTGGTGCTTTAGTGGATTATTAGGACCTTAAACTATATTAACTGAGTTACAGCACCTGGCACTCTACAAGAAGCTACAACAATAACTGCATCAGACAGAGCTCAGCTAATTTTCAAAATTGCGAACCGTGCTTACATCAGGCCTTTCAGGTTTGTTGTGATCATTAGGTCTCTCTTTAGGCAAGCAGGAGCAGCGACAACAGTCAGTCTTTTGTTTTGAATCATGCTGATTGTGATTTTACTTCTCACTTTAACCTGTGCCACTTGACATAAAATCTACTTACTATTTACTAAATTCATAGATTGAGCAAGTATGTGACAAAATGAGACATAAAAAAAAAAAAAATAAATAAATAAAAAAAAAAAAATAAAAAAAAAAATTCTAACCTAACTGTTAGTAAAACCTAAATAAAAATGTCATTTATCTTCTTTCAAATATGTCCAATTATTATGAGTGTAAAATGTTTAATGCTACTGGATAAATTTCATAAACTTTATTTTATTCTCAAACTTATTGATAATTATGTTTAATAATAATGCATCCTACTTATGGATCTATTTTATTTTTAGGATGGTGTTACAAAAGAGAAGTTCAGCATAGATAATATTTTTAATTGAATTTATTCAATTTCCATTTGCTTATTTCCTTAATTTTTTTCATTAATGGTCCTTAAAAGTACTTAATTTCCATGTACAAAAATGTGTACGAACCCTGTAAACCCAAATATTGTTACGCATCAACACCCTTTGCTGACTGTAGAGGAAATATTTTCATGTTTGAGCGGGGGAAAGCATTTTTCAAAAATTGATTTTAAGCATGCTTATTTACAAATGAAAGTACACCTGGAGACGAGACTCAAAAATTGCTTACTATAAACACACAGAAAGGATTATAAAAGTGTAAGAGATTAATGTTCGGGCTAAATGCAGTGCCGGCAATCTGGCAATGTTACGTAGACGGACTATTCCACGGAATAGAAGAGTGTAAAGTCTTCATGGATGATGCGCAGGTAACAGGGACGGATGATGAGGCACATTTAAATACTTTAAAATTTTTCTTTGAGAAATGTCAAACTCACGGACTGAAATTAAATTTAGAGAAAAGTAAATTTTTTCAAGATGAGATACAATTTTTAGGTCATAAAATTAATGCTAATGGTTTACATAAAACTGGTGAAAAAATATCAGTGACTGGAAAAGCCCCAAGACCCAGAAATGTCTTTGAAATTCAAAGCTTTTTGGGATTGGTTAATTTTTATGGAAAATTTTGCCCTAAATTAGCGACAATCGCAAATCCTTTATATCAGTTAACTAAGAAAAACTCAAAATGGGTTTGGACGAAGGATTGTCAGGAGGCTTTCCTAAACATTAAAAAGAATTGTGTTCACAAAAAGTTTTGATGCATTATGATATAAAATTGCCCTTAACATTGGCAACTGATGCCTCGCCAGTAGGGTTAGGTGCTGTATTTTCTCACAAACTTCCTGATGAAACAGAAAGGCCAATTGCATATGCTTCAAGAACACTGACTGAAACGGAGAAAAAAATATTCTCAAACCGATATAGAAGCTTTGTCAATCATTTGGGGAATAAAAAAAATTTTTTTTTGTACTTAAAAGGCAGGAAATTTACATTAATTACAGATCATAAACCTCTTAAAATAAATTTTTGGCTCAAAGACAGGCATGCCAGTTTTGGCAGGAACAAGACTTCTACATTACGCTTTGGCTTTACAGTCATTCCAATTCAATATTATTTACCGAAAAACAAACGAGTATGGTAATGCTGACTTTTTCTCAGCATTGCCGACGAACTGAGAGCAACTGTGTGTTCAGTATGATGTAACTATTTTTCAGTTACAGCAAACTCTTCTAATCACGACCAGAGATTTGGCTAAAGAAACTGAAATTGATGCAGAACTCAGTCCTCTGCTACGGTTACTTCAAAGTGCCAGTGAATTGAAAGGAAGGGAGATGGAGTACAGTCTCCAAAATAGCTGTATAATGTATGGTCAACGCATTTGTATTCCAAAACAATACTGTGATAATGTTTTGAAAGAGACACTTAGGGACTGTAAAGAGGAAAGCAATTGCTAGATCTTACGTATTTTGGAATGGTATACATAAAGATATCAAAAATACTTCCAAAAACTGTTCTGAATGTGTAAAACATAAAAGAGATCCTCCTAGGGTAAAAATTCATCACTGGGAGTACCCAAGCGCTCCAAAGGAACATATTCACATTGATTATGCAGGACCTATTTTTGAGCAGATGTTTTTGATAATGGTCAATGCTCACTCAAAATGGCTAGAAGCCTGTCCATTGAAATCAAGCTCGACTTTCAAAACGGTAGAATGTTTACGGGACTTTTTTGCATGATTCGGATTACCAATACTGTTAGTGAGTTATAATGGGCCATAATTCACTTCACATGAGTTTAAGATAATTCTACAGAGTAACGGACTCAAACCCAAAACTACAGCACCATTTAAACCATCCAGTAATGGGCAGGCTCAACGGTATGTGTTTACAGTAAAACAATCTTTAAGAACAATGCAAAATTATCGAGGAACTTTGAAACAAAAACTCGTACATTTTTGATGCAATATAGGAAAGCTCCAAATTTAACTACTCTACAGAGCCCTGCAATGCTAGTGCTGACGAGGGAAATTCAAACAAGAAATAGATTTATAGAGACCAGACCTCAAAAGGAGGGTGGAAGACAAAATTCGAAAAGGAACCTAAGAGTTTGCAGACCGAGGATTTAGAGTAGGAGATAGAGTGGCAGTAAGAAATTATCACCAAGGTGATAGATGATGGAGATTTTGAACCATCCAATCCAAGGATGGGCAGCTTCATTACACCATAAATGTAGATGGTCAGCTATTGTGACAACATATCAATCAGATGCGTGATGGAGGAACTGTAACAGATGAGGGATTCATACGTCCACCTCCAGTTCTCGTGATTTCCAAAGAGCCTCATAAGAGTGGAGTTTCAGAACATCCAAAGATAATAGCTACCAGGCAGATGAGTCTGTGTCGTCCTCCGAGCCTAAGGTTGTAGGAGATGTTCCGTCCACCAGACCTGCTGCTGATACAACTAAGTTACCAAAGAAACCAACAGGGCCACAACCTTTGCATTGGTCCAATAGAATTCGGCGTCTCCCTTATAGACTGCAGTTATAATAAAGAGGGAGGGATGTGGTATATTGAGAACTAACGATGTGGTACAGTACAAAGTCTTTAATCCGGACTCGTATGGACTTCAGCGATTCCGGATTAGGGATTTTTCCGGATTAAAGATCATCAATTTTAATCTGGTAAGATGGCATGCAGAAATTATACAATTAAAAATATGAAACCGTAATTTATGAAATAAAGAGCAATTATGATCTAAAGGGTATCGAAATTTACAAAAAAAAAAAAAAAAAAAAAAAAAAAAAAAAAAAAAAAAACTTTATATTTATTTGCTTATTTTATTAAACATTTCTTTCAATGCGCGCATGCATAAAGCATACATTATGCATAGTCAAAATTAGAAAATTGCAACCAGAAAACTATTTGATATGTATTCGTAATATTTATAATGACGAGGAAATTGATTTAAATCATATCGGAGTACATCGAGATGAAACACTACATTTAATAAGGAATTATAAGCTGAATAAAATAAAAACATCTGCCCTGAAGATAAGGGTAGTGCTGACAGATCAACTTCTAGTTCATTGCGCACTGCAACCCCCCCCCCCCGGCAGAGCAGCGTGAAATTGATAAACAGATTCCGGAATGGTTAGAAAAACAAATCACCTCTCTGTCACTTTCTTCGTGCCTTTATCTATTTTTTCCAGCAATTCCACTTTTTGTTTAATGGACATCGAAACATGCTTTCACTTTGTAGATCCTTTGGCAGCTTCCGAATTGGAAACTCTTTTTGACATAATCGAAAGTTCACGTTTACTTTTTATAAAATTGCCGTCAATAACAGTCTGCAAAAAAAATTAAGCCGGATCCAAATTAGAAGATTAAGGGAACAGCGCAATCTGCTAACATTAAATGCTTAAAATAAGATAATTAGATAATATTAGCCTAACTTATACCGTCCGTTATACATTAAACACGCATGCGCAAACGTATTATGCCGCTTGCACAGAAAGTTTGTAGCTTTGAGGTCCAGATTATAGATCATTCCGGATTATGGACGTTCGGATTAAAAACTTTATACTGTATATCATAATCAGACTTAAAGCTGGCACAGTACGAAGCATCAAAGCATGCACAGTAATAAGAAAAGGACTGGAATGCGAGTAGCTGTAGATATAAGTGTGCATGCGAGTGATTATATATTTTGTATGTATAATAATAAAAGTAGCATGTAGTTTAAAAGAGTGTTGTGAAATAATTACCCACTAAAGGATACACAGTATCTAGTCTGAACTGTAATCTGCAAATAAGATATATTGCATTTTGCTTAAAATTTATATTTATGAGATTGTTTATTTTAATTATTATATTTATTCACTTATTCCCTCCCATTTTTTTAAACCAATTTATACTTTTGAAAATAAAGAAGGAAAAGTTTAAAAGAAGAACTTAGTTGATTAAAAGCTGCAAAAGAATTGATATTCTATGTTTTCTGCAGCCTGTATTTAAAAGAAAGAATAAAAACAGTTACAGTTATTATCTTCATTGTTATTCTTTTCACTTGTACAATGTACTTTGGCATCCAACCATATCCCATATAGTGCTTTCATAATGCAGAAGTTGATCATATGCTAAAAAAAACTTGGACAAGAGAAATATGCATGGAGGGATATAAGTTTATGACTGTGAACCAATTCATGAAAATACCCTGTGAATAGGTATTTTCATGACTGCATTATTTAATTTATTCAAGGAATTGATCATTATGTTTTCTATTTTTCTTAGTGGAACAACACAAAGCAGTGACTGCCAGTCTGATGTTTATGAAAGTTTGGAAGAGCTACATGTCTTAGTATTAGCTCATGTCCTGAAGCGAGCTATAATTGTGATTGCTGACACTGTTCTAAAAGATGTCACTGGAGAGCCATTTGCTCCTATACCATTTGGGGGAATTTATTTGCCCCTTGAATGCCCACCAGCAGAATGTCATCGTTCACCTTTGTGCCTCACCTATGACTCTGCCCATTTTTCTGCTCTTGTACCAATGGATGAGGAATGTAAAGATTTATCATCAGAACCAAAAGGTTTGTAGTTAATTCACAATAGCTGTTCTTATACATACTACAGTACAAAGTCCAAGATCAGGGCTCGTCGGGACTTTTGGCAATCCCAGATTTGGGATTTTTCTGGATATTAGATCATCATTTTAAATCTACTAAGATGGCATGTGGAAATTATAAAATTAAAAATATGAAATTGTGGTTTATGAACACATGATTATGTGATGTGAGCAATATAAGTGATTATAAAGCGTTTATAAACTAAAGGTTTTCAATATTTACAAAAAAACCCTTAATATTGATTTCTTAATTGTGTTTATTTGTTAATTAAATGTAAGTCGTTTAAGTTGCTTCATTTTTTATGCTAATACTTTCTCTTTAATTGTATAGATAAATTATTTTTTGTTCAGTTACAAAGTTCCATTGTTCAAGTTCTGTAATTGCTGTGTTGAAAATTCAGACTAACTTGGCAATTGAAATTTTTCCATTTTTCAATAAACTTTCTGTCACTTTCTTCACTATCGGTAGTAGTATTTTCCAGATTTAGAACAGATTTTGTCATCCGTTAATTGATTGATGATCGGGGCATAGTCATCACAAGGAAAAACTTCTGTTATATCATCTTTATTTATTACCATTTCTCCAAATTTCTTTACAAAATCCATTATTTGGAAAATTCACCTTTGGTTTGTGATATCCAAAAACATTCAAATTCGTGGCTATCAACTTCATCAACCTCACCGTGAAATATGGTAGCTGGCCGTAGACACATCCTCCCACGATCTTGCAAGGTTCCACGTAGCAGATTTTATGCTAAAATATTTCAAAAATTCTTGAATAGTGTAGTGTAGCCATTATTTAAGAAATTTAGCATGGGCATTAAAAATTCTGCTTTATATTTGCATTTCAGCTCGTGCACTATTCCGATAGGTATAGGCTGATTGATGGATGTACAATTTGAAGGAAAGAATAATACGAATACATTATCTTTCATTAAAACTTTAAGTAAAGTATGAGCCATACAGTTTTCTACAATTAGGATAACTTTTGCATCATCAGGTGAACTATCTAAATCAAATGTTACCAAGCCTCGGGTATGAAATAATTTTAAAACCAATCATTCATTAACACTTGTGTCATCCATACTGTTTTATTTACACGATATACATATAACGGAGAAAATCTTTATGCCTTCAAATGCTCGAGGTCGTGTATTTTTTCTGATTATGAAATGTTTACACTTATGCATTCCTGTAGCATTTGCGCATTCTAAAATTGATAGTCTCGCTTTGGAATCTTTGATACCAGTTGGAGCCTTTTCGGGAGAGTTTTCTGTAGAATACGTATTGCCAAAAAAGACAAGTTTCATCAGCATTGTAAGTATGTTGAGATAACTTTTCACTATTACTGAGTTCAATAAATTCATCTGCAAATAGTTCAGCAGTTGCAGTATAAGCTATCATGAGATTAGGAATGAAAGACGAGTTGTTTTGCTAAATTTTGTCTTGCTTCTATCATGCATGGAGACAAGTCTGAATTGTTCAGCAATTGCAGTATCAGCTATCATGAGATTAGGAACGAAAGACGAGTTGTTTTGCTAAATTTTGTCTTGCTTCTATCATGCACGGAGATAAGTATGAATTGAGTTATTTATTATATTTAAGTCCATTTCTTGCTCATGCTTAAGGCTTATCTGGATCCTGAATAAATAAATTCCCACATATAATTAAGGCTTATCTAGTGCCGGTGCTAGATATCTTACCGTCTGATGCAGTCTCTGCGGGTTAATGAATTCTGCTAACATCCTTAAGAGCATCCTTAAGTTCTAAATTGTGGATCCCAGTGCTTTCCCTAAATTCTAAAAATATTTTCATCCTTTAATTTTGTTGCTCGGTGCTTCTCTAAATTCCCAAAATCTTGTCTTCCCCAAATTCTGCCACTAGGTGCGGCCATACGAGCTCTGGCGCCATTTCTGGGTTTATGTGAAAGAGAAATCCTTAATTCAAATAGCACTAAATGTAATCTTTTAGCCTATGAATATCATTGACAAAATCTACTTTTAGCATAGCAAGAGAAATTTAAAAACAATTTTTCCTCGACACAATTTCTTAGCGCATTTAACTTAAATCTGTAATCACCGCCAAGTGTAATGTCAGAATAAAAGGTTATCATTCTTCTTTATTATTCAATTACTAACATAAAAAAATTGTATAGGCATCGCTACATGAGTCATTACTCAAGTTGTCATGTTTTGATCAACATGCGGTGATGAAACGAAAGTATAATAAATAATGATTCGCCAGGTCGACGTCAGATCAACAATGTTCCTAAGTAGATTGTTTTCGTTTGATACATATGCCAATCAAATTCGCAGCTACGGAGTCAATTTACTGATCACACAAATTTATACTAAAATGATTGTGTCTTCAATAACGAGGTATTTTATTTAGTGTCGAAGTGAAATTAAGAATTGGAACTCTCCCCATGTTTTATTATGAGGGAAAAATCAAATGCACAAGTGTAAAACGTACCCCCCCCCCAAAAAAAAGCTTAAAAAAGTGTTGAAAGTGGCTTTGAGGACCGGATTTTAGATCATTCTGAATATTGGACATCCGGATCTCAGACTTTGTACTGTTCATAACCAGTATGATTGTTCACAGAAGCTACTATCATGCTGATAGTCTCAGATTTAAATCTCAGATGATAAGAGACTGATGTTAGTAATCATAATATCTGTGCAGAATATTGGTACTTAAAATTCTCTTGATCTACTTGTTCTGTCCAAAGGTTCTTGTCTGTCCAAGGAATTCAGTGTTCCATAGCAGTTTACATGTCATCCTAGATATGTCTGATAACACTGAGATCTGGTGTTTCAGATAACCATGGTAAGACTTCCTCAGATGAATGTTTCTCTGATACTCTTTAGCCTAGTTTCACATTTCTTATAGAAAAGACCAAATGCCTCAGAATAAACACAGGGTATGAAAGATTATACATCATCGTAAAGGATATGCATGTAACATTCATCTGTCAACATTGTTTAAAGACATACTAGGGGCCTTACTGAATGTCATTTAAACAAATCCTATATCATTTCAGAATCTCCTATTGATATGTGGGATCACAGATTTTTCTCTGCACACAAATCATCCCATTTACCCAGCTAAAAATGCAGCTCACTAAAACAAGCTAATTATTTTGAATTATCAAGTGTTCAGTGCTTGAGTTACTAGATAAATGCATGGCATTGAATTATGCATTCAACCAAGTATTCTGGTTCAGTGATGGCTCCTAAAAGCTATATCATGAACCAACCTGTGTAGTCTGTATCCCATCTTCTGTGCATAGCATTCTTTGTTTTCTCTTTGCTGTTGTCGGGGTTCGTATGGTCCTTAAAAGTCCTTAGGTTTTGTGGAATTAATTTTTGGTCTTTAAAGGTTCTTAATTTCGGCCAAAATCAGCAGAAGGTTCTTAACTTTAATCATCTGAAATTTCTGTCTGTTTTTTATGACTGCCATTTTGAATCTGAATTAGCATTTTGGAGAAATATTTTTGGCAATTCATTCACAAATATAATTATTTTTTGAATTGGTGAATAAGTTCATGAATTATAATTTATCCCTATTTCTAATATAAATGGTGGGTAAATTAAGCAGTTGTTTATAATTTTAGCCTTTACTATAATTTTCCATTTCCTCACCAGAATGCAAATCACTTAGATAGATTTTAAACTAAGGTTTTGATGTTGTAAGACAGAATTTGTTTCTGGCCTCCAGTTGCACTCTGCGTTAGTTCCTACCGACTCTGATAATTTTTTATAACTCACCTTTGCATTATCGCTGCCGATATTTGAATTTGTTATGATGAGTTGCGAGTTTATTATGAGTATTACAGAGCCAGCTTAGATTAAAATTAAATTGTGTAGTCTTTGACTACTAGTCCCCCTAGTTGATATTTCTAGCACAAAGAACATGCCTTTATGCTCTAAGTTCTTTTTAAATAAGAGATTTATTTAAACCTTTATCTGACTTTGTAGTTACTTTCAGACATAGCAATAATTTGCTTCATGACTGTCAGTGGTTTTGGAATATTTAACTTTTATCAGATCAAAACCTCATAGGTACATAGTCAAGAGATTGAGAAGTTAGAAGATAAAAACATGCGGAAACTAGTGGGAATATTGTTTTTCATCTTGAAACAAATTCCTAATCGTTAGAATAGATGCTTAAAGAAAAGGAAATTGAGATAAATTAGTCAGAATGGTCTGGAAAGTCTTCAAATTAAAAAGATACATAAATATTTTGTTGAGTACTGTTGCTATGAAATGTAAATGTTGTGTAGATTTAATGTGTAGTCATACTAATATCGTTTAAGAATTAATGTAGAACATTTCATGTATTTTAAACTGTAAATGTTAATAGATTTTGATTTTATGAGTGCTTTTTTAACAAGATATTGATATGATATTTAAAAAAAAAATTTAGTAGTGGCCATGTAAATCTATAATGACTAAGGATATCTAACTAGCTAATTTAATTGTTTGCAATTAACTGGTCACTTTAAAAGTTATCTCTGCATATTAAAGTGAGTTATTGGCTTTCATTAATCCTTACCATGATCACAAGATACAGCAACATAGTGTAAAACTTATTCTTTGCATCTAGTGAAACTTAAAATAACAGAAAAGAACTTATCATATCTGGTGTTTTAGTGGGTTATTGGAACCTTAAAATATATTAACTGGGTTACAACCCCAAGAACTTTACACAAAGCTGTGATACTAATTGCGTCAGAAGGCAGAACACAGCTAACTTTCAAAACTTGCTAACTGTGCCTATATCAGGCATTCAGGTTTGTTCTGATTAGCAGGTCTCTCTCTAGGCAAGCAGCAGAGGTGGCAACAGCTAGTCTTCTATTACGAATCATGCTGATTATGATTTTACTTCTCATTTTAACTTATGCCGTTTGACATAAAAATCTACCTTCTAACTGAGCAAGTATGTGACAAAATGAGACATAAAAGTAAAAATCAGTATAAAGCTAATTGTTGGTAAAACAAAAATAAAATGTCACTAATCTTCTTTCAAATATGTCCAACTATTTTAAGTGTAAAATAGTTAATGCTACTTGATAACTACTTTTATAAAATTGATTTTATTCTCAAATTTGTTTTATAATTTTGTTTAGTAATAATACATTCTTCTTGTGGATCTATTTTATTCTTAGGATGGTGTTATAAAAGTGAAGTTCAGGCATAGCTAATATTTTTAATTGAATTTATTCAGTTCCCATTTGTTGATGGGTCCTTAAGTTTTTCATTAACGGTCCTTAAAAGTCCTTAATTTCCATGTGCAGAAATGTGTAAAAACCCTTTGTAGGCATTGATGATATGTCAAGCTAGACTTGATATGGCAAGAATCCTAGGATTTACAGAGATTGAAAAAACTATTTGAAAATGTAATCCAACCATACGGGTAATGCATCCTTCATCAATATCTTACTTTAGCCATTTTTGTCAGTTATAATACATTCTGGAAAACTGTTATGTCAGCTTATTTATAAATTCTGTTTGGTTTAAATATGTTCTACTCAATAAGGGTTCATTGTGCATTTCTATTAGTTACATAATTGGGTATATTATGAATAATATTGTTATTTTAAAGGTGATATTTTATTGCTAGTATATTGCTTCCGATTATTTTTTCTTAAATAATGTAATTCTATTCATGGTATAACTTCTTCATAAACATTGTTAATTAAAATGTTCATAATGTTTTTAATTAATGATATATACTATATATATATACACACACACAATAAAGTTTAACTTAAGAATAGTTGAAATTATTTTGTCATTATCTGTGTTTCAGTCATTAATTGAATCTAGCTAAAGTTACCAAATTCCAAGGCTGTTTTGTTTTAGGTTTTCGTATACTTTGCTTAACATGTTAATTTGTAGTAGGGGCAAGAGTATAAGTAAGAAGAGAAAAAAAAAATTAATTGCATTTTTAATGCAAATACACATTTACAAAGGACTTAATAACATTGCGCTACATATTGTGATCTATAGAAAAATTGCCTTAAAATGAGAAAAATGTATTTTGTCTAAGTTGCACAAATTTAATGGCTGAAGTTTAGAAAGTATATTTATTTATCAATATTACTTTAAAAATCAAATTGCAGTATGCAGTTCTTAATTTTTAAAAGTGTTCATATTCATGAAAAAATTATACTTTTAGCATAATTACTTGTCCAGATGGTATCAGAATTCCAGACAGTCTTTCAGTTGGTAACAGTGAAATACTTTATAGATTTTTGGCTACATTTGAAAATTATTGATGGTGGGTTTTTCTCATTAATATTGAAGCGTGCTACTATATTTTATTGATTATCACTTTTGTAATTGTTACTAAGTAAATATAATTTTGCCCTAAGTAATTAAACTTTATGTGTATAACTGAAAATTAATTCTATGCTGTTTTAACCAAACAAAACTAGAATTTTGGTAATCGTCTATTATTGAGGCAGCAGCTAAAATATACACAAGTATGTTAAAGTTCTGAAACTTTTACTGATAATTGCATCAAATATTGTAACATGACATGTTTTGGTCTAAAAAAAAAAAAAAATTTTTTTTTTTTTTTTTTTTTTTTTTTTTTTTTTTTTTTTCCTGTGGGATTTTGACAAGAGAACTGGGATAGAGTTTACAATTTAATGACTGCGAAAGCTGAAGAATTTGCTAAATTCTTTCTGAAAAATCAGTTATCTATGGTAAAAGACTTTGTTCAAATCATGATAATATAGGGTGGCCTATGTTAAATCAAACTGGTCATGATAGACCTTGTTTGTTTTGGGTTCACTTTACCTTGGCATACCCAGTATTATCAAGCAGCAGTATGTCTTGAATGTATTATTCAGGTTGCCAATATTATTCCCACCTGTATTTTGCACCAGCAATAATATTTGACAATGACTACTGCCCTATTCTCTGTGGAGTTCTGGAATTTTAAACTTCTATAACAGCTAGAGTTAAAAAATAGTACTTTTTTGTATCAAGGGGGCAAGTCCTAAATAAACTATTATGTTTTTACATAAAATTACAGTATATTAGTATGTATTCCTCTATAAAATAGCAGAGAAGTTAATTTATTTTATGTGCTTTTTGTTTTTAATTCATTTTTCTGTTCATTCATCCCTTTTTTGTGAGAGGAGGATGTCTAAATTTATAAATTTTTCATGTATGATCTTAAATCCCAAGTAGTATGGATTTTTGCTCTTTGATTGTATGTTGAGTAAAAATATATTTTTCAAGTTTGCCAGTTTAATCATATTTTAAGAGTTACCAATAATTATAAGCTTGTGTTTTCAAATTATTAAATAAATAATTTCTAAAAAATCTCCTTCAGTTGTATAGTTTGCTTTTGTAATTTTAGCTGCAATTCCAGTCACAGACCCAGATAATAAGCTGCTTCCATTACAATTTGCTGTTGATCCTGGTCCAGAAGTGAGATGGGGACAAGATGAAAATGATTCATGGGTAATTGCCAGGTTAACTTTAACTGACAAAGAAAAACTTATCCTGTTAAATGAGTATCTAGATATAAGAAACATTGAAGTATCATATCAAATATCTGAGCCAGTGGAAAACACTTCTAAAGAAGTTAATGGTCATTTAGCTGAGGCAAAGTATTATGATCCATATGAGTCAGATGACAGCTCTCCTGATGAAGGTATATCATGTACAGGGGGTAAAAGTGGTAAGAGTAAAGCAGCTCGTCAGTTGCAAACTGTGGCCAAACAGTTTGGTAGCATTGGTAGAAGTATGAGTAAAAAATTGAAACATATCGGAAGCATGGCTCGGCGAGGTGGATCTTTCAAAGGTGAGTCCTCTACATTAAAACGGAATTCAGATACTCTTAAAAATAAAAGAACTTTAAGTGGCTTGCCCATGATGGCTCGAACTGCAACCATAGATGGGAGTTTGAATCCTAGGCAAGTAGTTGTAGCTGTCTTAAACACAGAAAAGAAACATGAGTATCAGAAGAAATTAATCCAGAATTATCTGACATCAGCAATCAGCAGATATGAAAATGATAAAATACTTAAAAGTAACTCTCTGCCAAACGGAAAGCTTGCCACTCTGCAGTGTATCAACCCTGGTTGCAAGATGTTCAGTGCTCCATCTACTAGTTACTTGTGCTCCACTTGTTATCGGAAACAAAAGGAACAGGAGTATGAGTTGGAAGGCCAGAGAATGATACAAAAAAATAACAGCTATTGCAATGAAGGTCCTGTGATTGTATCCGGAAAATCTGCTTTTTACACCGAAACTGATCAAAACATGAGAAAATCTGTAGAAAAGCTATCAGCAAATGGGCATTTAACAAATGGTTTGGCTGGATGCAAAAATTCAGTATTTTATGACAAGTTTTCTTGTGATGGTATTCAAATATATCGACAACCACTGCCTCCAGAATGTAAGGGTGAATCTCTTCATATGGATTCTCATTCTGTTCTGAAAACTATCAAGGAATCAGCTTCTTCATAAGCGAACCATTTGTCATCCAATTCTTGTGCCTTTGCTTTCATTTATAAAAATCCTCATTGTATAAAATGTTTGCACTTGCATAATATATATATAAACTCTTTTTAAACCTTTTTCAGTGAGATATTGCTTTATACTTAGTGTTTAAGAGATATATCAGAGGTGGTATGTATATGACTTGTAATTCATATTGAAAATACCGACAGTATAATGTCAGCCATTTATAAAGCTTTGTTGCATGCACAGCATCTTTTTTTTTAAATAATTTAGCACAGTAAGTTGAATAGTTCACTTCAAATTAAAATAGTTTGAGTTTTAACAGTATGTAGATATTTGTAAATAGGAAAATTAATATATTACTTTTTGTTGATTTTACATATTTTATGAGAGCATTATTAAAATTATACAGAATTCTAAAAGGCTGCATAATTGTTTGCTTGTGCAGCTCATGGTATTCTATCTTGTGTTCTTTCAAAATATTATGAAGTTTTAGCATTCATCAAACTTCAGTAGTTCTGCATTTTAAGTGTAAAAAATGAAGCTACTTTTTTGTTTATGATTGAATTTGCTATTTTGTTATCTGTGATGAAAGCAACAAAACATATGTTATTCCATTATTTGTGAACTTTCTTAATTTTAATTCTTGTTATATATTTTAATTTTATCTCTTATTAAATCCTTGTATCAATTGACTTTTGTTGTAAACTAATTCAATTATACCTGTTTTAAAGAACTTTCTGTGTGTCCTTTCCAAGTCTTAATACTGTAGGGATGTCTTTATGTGTATTTTGTATGATTTTTTTTTTATATTTGGGGAAGAAAAAAATAAATTAATAAACTTTGGTAAATTAATTTGAAATTGTCTAAATATAACATCAGTATTAAGCTTAGATAAGTTAATTGTCTTATTATGTTAATATTCATTCTGTATAAAGTAAAGTAAATCATAAAATATAATTTAGGATAATTTAAAAGTTTTGATTTTGATAAGCATAGTCATCATAAAAATTTATCAAACCTCCTTTTTTTTTTTTTTTTTTTTTTTTTTTTTTTTTTTTTTTTAATACAAAAATTGTTAGATTGAGTAAGCTTAACTTGCATTTATTTCTCCTTCAAAATGTTGTAGGTTATGGCATTTATCAAACTATTATAAATTATTATAAAACAGTCAAGAAATTGATTTCAGTATAAAATAATGATAAATTAGTTTAAATTACATTTCTTTTTATTTTTCAGATTGTTTTTTACTAGGCCATTTTCTTGAAATGAAAACGTCTGCTCAATTTTGAATTTTTTTCCTTTTTGGTTTTGATGATTTGGTATTGGAATAAAATAATATCTTTTCAGAGGAAAATAAGCATATCTCAGTAAACAATTAAATACACAATGCAAGTTTCCTAGTGCGCAAAACATAGTAATTTAAAGTATTAAACGGAGAAACTGTATTAAAACATGTAGCTTTTATGTAACAGAAAATAAAAAATGTAAGAAATTTCTGAATCAAGTTTTGATAGTATTTATTGCTCATTTTTCTGAGTGTGTAGAATCTTTCTTATCTGCAGAAAAGTATACTTAATTTCCATTATTCATTTTATTTCACATGTGTTAGTTGTATTGATACTTATTGTTTTCTCTCTGTAGGCATTTTTCATTGCTACTTAAGTATTACATTTTAATTATAGACTAATGATCGTGCTTGTTGTGCTTTGATTTGATCTTCTGTTGTATTTGATTTGAGATGTATATGGCATTGTTATCTAATTCCATTTTTCATTTTAAGTACATGCTGCAATGTATACATGACTAAGGCGTAACATTATATAATAAATTACAAAAAAAAAAAAAAAAAAAAAATCTTGTAGATTTGGGGACCTTAGACTGCATTCAACAGAACTTTTTAATTTAATTTCTGTAATTTAAAATCAAAATAGAAAATAATTATTTAATATTACCTAGGCTGCAAAACTAACTACTTAAAGTGATTAATTAAATAATTAATTTTGATGTATCTTGTTACTATAAATAATATTTTTTAGATAAAATTATAATGAAATAAAAGTATTTTTCTTTTACTTTCCACATAAGGTGCACATAATATTAATATATTTTCTGAGAATAGTAGAAGTTCAGTGGAAAAAAATAAAATGATTGTTTTAGAGATTTTGCAAGTCAACAGAATTTGAAAACTCTTAATATAGATTTCACTTTACTTTTTATATTAAAATTCAATTCTTCCTTATAGAGTTAAAAACGAGTTTGAAATTTTTCAATCAATATCTAGTTATAAAATATAGATCTTCCAGGATTACTTTAGAAGTCTCATCAAATGTTTTCTTCTATTTTTAATCAATCTGCTGCCATTTCCATGCAATTTTTCAGTCTGTCCTTTCCTAAAGTCTTCCTTCTCTTCATCTGTTGGTATCTTAGTCTTCCTTTGTTGTGAAAACAGATAAAAATAAAATTAGTAATGCAACAACCTTGAGTTTGGCATAGATTTAGTTAAGATCTCAATCAGTTTTGAGGGTATACAGGTACAGGTCCATCTTCATCAGGAAGAAAGAAATCATGAAGACTGTCTAAGCCAAGAGGTACGTGTACCTATCAGTCCTCGAAATTATTTAGATGATTTTGTTTTCAGAATTTTTCTGCCATCTTTTCATTATATGAGCTTTTTGCCTTTATTTTTCACTTAGTTCAAAAGATTTCTGAAGTTCTTCCCATTTAAGGTGAATTTTTTTTTAAATTTTTTTTATATATATTTAATAATTAACCATTTATTTATATTCAATCAAGAAATTCCTTTTACATTAATTGAACTATGCATTAATAACTATGTGAATTTTCAGCTGATGTTGAATAAAGCTTAAACTCTATTTTCTATATTTTGATCTGCTTTATCAAATGCCTTTGTAGCTCTTTAATTATATGTGATTTTGGATTTCATTATCTAATTAAATATTCTTTGATTTTGTTATCTATCTTCTAAGTATTTTTTGTTTTATAATCAGATTTGCTTTAAAACATTTTAAAGGTGTCAAATTATCTTTTCTTATACACTCATTTTATGTATATTTTCTTATTCAAACTGAATATCTGCAGATGTTTCGTATAACAGTTTTTCTGAATTTTGAAATTTTTATTAAGGTTTATCATTTATCATTTTTAGTTTTCTTTGCATTGCCCCTCTTTTTTTAATCTATATCTTAAATATTTTTAGTTAAAGAGCATTATTTTTTATGTAATAACTTAAATTACTGTATAATTTTAGTTTGCATTTATTGTCAATAAAACACATAATAAATAAATCTTCTGTATTAAAAAAAGCTGTTAAATTAGATATGGCAGTTTATAACAGAGACTAAAGAACAGATGATTTAAATATATTAAAAATGCTTTTTCAAATTAGAAAAATTTTAAGATTTTTCCAAATTAAGAGGCTTTAGTGAAAATGAGACATTTCATTTTATATGTATGTAAGTTGCTTTTAATCAATAATTCATCTATGAGGTCTTTTCTGAATATGATGTTTCCCTTAATATTATATCAGTATAAGCTTTAAGGTTAAAAATTTCATGTTTAAGACAGGAATACAATTCCTAAATATAAAGTTCAGTAAGAGACTTGAAAGTTAGCAAGCTATCCTTCCTTTTCTAACATATCAATTACAAGTGCAGCTCAGATTTAGAAATGTAATAGTTGATTTTCCCTTACCATTTTTTTAAATTAAAAAAAAAAGTGTAATATGCGCTGTGAGGAATATTATGGTATTAAAACATATTTCCTTTTTTAAATATTGTCAGTGAGTTTCTCATATATATGTATTTTGTGGTTAATCTTGAAGGAAAGTATTATTGGCACATAATGTATTACTAAATGTTCAATGAAGACATAAATTCTCAAATTTTTGTAACTTAAAGATATAATTTTCACATTTTAAGAAAAAATGTAAAAATTTAAACTATACTGTGTATGCTTAGCATAGCCTTAAATGCTAAGACTGTTTTCTTTCAATACTGAAAAACATAAAATTTAAAAATTATTATATCAATAAGTTAAATTTTTATTTTAATAACATTCTTTTGTTGCTGTTATCAGTGTTCAAGAAGTTTAACTACTTCATGACATGAGTTTTCTTTTCTGTGTGCTGTATGAAGTTTTAAAAAAATATGCAATATGTGTTTTTTTCACTACTGGAAATTTTGTTTAGTACTGAAAACTTTTATAGCTATATGTGGGTATTGGAAATTTTTGGTGCATAAAGCATGGGTTCTTTGTTTGTCTCAGTAATGAAAATTCTTGAGATTCTTTGTGTGTCTCAACAATGAAAACTTATTGAAGATAATTGTTTCAATCCATGATAGTTTTATTTATTGTGTTCTGTTCTTAATAAATTTGGCTCATTTTGATGCTTTCGACTAAGGGTAAATGAATTGTTTAGCTACTGTAAATGTGATCGAACATCTTTTAAATCAATACCCTGTTTTCATTCTTTTGTACTTTTCTAAGTACTGCAGTTTGGCCGAATATATTTGTAGTGATATATAATTTCAGTACATTAGAATTAATGTAGATTTAATTTCACTACATTGATAATATTCCATGATTGTAAAAGTAAAAGCTTGTAACTTTCATTTTATTATTTGGCAAGTCTTGAAGTCCCGTGGGGAAAAAACATATGTAGTATATATCAAAGATTGAACAAATACAGACTAACAGAACACATTATAGCATATAAAATTAAGGTGTGTTATGGATAGTTGTTCATCTTCAAGGTTAAGGATGTTGTTGTGAAAAGCGGACATTTATTAACAACATATTACCATCTGAAGTTCTCGGTAATGAATAATACTCAAGTTCAAAAATATTTACTTATATCATTGGTATTTATAAATGTTAAAAAAGGAATATTTACTTGTATTATACTTAAAATAAGTAAATATTCCTTTACTTATTTTATGGTAAATATTCCTTTACTTATTTTATTATTTAACATTTGAGTTTATTATCATCATTTACAAATATTTTGATCAAAACATCTGGCTGATCATTTCTTCCAAATGTGTGTTCTGTAATCTTTGTGAAGACGTAATTATTGACAACAAAAATACTGTACTTCCACATGACATATACACTTGAAAATTTAAGAAAATCATTATTGTCTTCCATAGTTTATAACATCAAATTATCTCTCTCTTTTTATTTGTGACTTCCATATATGTAATTCCTTTGAAAAATGATAAATTGTTAGAAAAA